GCCTCTCAGCCCCGAGGCTCTGGAACTCTATCCCCCAGTGCCTTCGCCGCTTCCTCCCTTTCCTCCTTCAAGGCCGGTCTCAAGACCTTTCTCTTTGACCGTGCCTTCAGCTCCCCTCTCGACTCTCTACCCCCTCCTCGCTCCCTCCCTTCCCTCCCGTCACCCTGACCATTTCCCCCTCCTCGGGTCCTGACCCAACTGTACAGCACCTTGGGACGTCCTCCCAACGTGAAAGACGCTCTATAAATGGAATCTTGTTGTTGTTGTAATGAAGGTCACACATGAGCCTCACATCAACCAGAGCGATGGGGAGTTACTAGAAAGATTGGGGGTGGTGTCTAGTGGCCAGGTCTCTTTGCTGTGAGCACAAGCTTTCCTTGACATAAGGTAGGTTTACCCCGAGCTGCACTGTAAAGCTGAGCCAGATGGGAAACACGACCCAGTTCTTTAAAGTTATGAGAGGCACAGATTAGGGGGATTAACAAGTGCTTGTTGGAAAAACAACAGCTTAAATGCTGTCTCGAGTCAGAAAACAGACCTCAGGATGTCAAGTGCACCTCCTGCAGGAACTTCAAATACAGGGTGACGCCATATTTCGGGTCCATAAAATTGGACACCACAGGATGATGGGTCCACAAAACAAAAACTGCTTCTGGTCCCGCTTCCAGGTCATCAGGTTGCTTCTCACATCACTTCAGGTTTTGTGCACGAGGCAGCGTGCCGGATAGTCAGCTGTGACCATTCTCACGAGCACTACTAACATTGGAGAGTGATGGGGGCTGACCAGCCCACTTCCTGTGCCCTTTGCTTGAACAAGAAATTGCCATGGCTGAACTGGAAGTTGGACATGTGTCACACTTCTCAAAACTGTGGGTCCACACACACGATAAACCAACTTGCGCTGTAGTGAGGTGCTTAAAATTGGGGTTTCTTGCAAGCCGTTCTGACCCACAAGAACTCAAAAACAATCTGAGGTCTTTCAAATCTGCTTGACGTACATGGAGCTTCCTGCAGGAGATGCACTTTATTTCCTGAGGCCCTTTTTCCGAAGTGAGACGTCATTAATGCTGATATTTTTCTGACGAGTCTTTGTTTGTCAATAAGCAAAACTACCATTATTATTGGGTCAGTATCCCGGAGCTAAGGAGGGAAGAAACATCTAGGACAGTGATTTTCAATCTCTTTAATATCAAGGAGTGGCTCTGCTTCTTCTTGATAGGTTGAGAACCATTTGTACATGAGTCTGACAGATCACTCAATCTAAATAGATCTTTGGTATGAAACAATCACAAGGTTAGCACCTACTGTGGGGTTGATCCACAGACGGATCACTCAGAAATACTGAACGATGGCCTTGCCATCATTGGTCATGTCCAGTGATGTAAATCAACTGAGCACCTGATTATGTGATCGGGAAACTGTTGGCCCAAAATGTTTCGAAATTTGCCTTGAAAGAGAGGGAGAGAGTGAGTCAGACTCAGGGATGGCGTTCCAGAGAATGGGGGCAGAATGGCTGGAAGCCTGTATGCTTCAATGACCCAGCAGTTTCCCCTCTCCTAAATAACCAAGAGTCCACATGATCAGGGTTAATATAAGAAAAGGGGAAAAGACAGACCTACGAATGGGTGGAGATTCAGATTTCTACCACATCCAATATTAGATTGACAGCACTGAAGCTTACAATGTCAGACTCGGTGCTTTCCTTCATTACTGTGGGCTGTGTGGTTGTTTTTTTCCTGGGGCTGGAGTTTGATCTGTGTGTGTGTGTGAGCTGGTGAGTTACAATAGATGGCAGATAATACTTGGCGGGGAAGGGCGACTGAAAGAAAACTTTTGCTGTATATAATTGCAACAACATGAAAATGAAATTCCTGCTGCAGAACCCATGATGGATGCAGAACGCAAACTTAAAAGGGCAGGGACCGAATTTCATCAGCTTCAATAATAAACATTGTGCACTGTGTGTGTGTGTGGGTGCATGTGAGTGTGTGAGTGTGTGTGGGGGGGGTGTGGTGGATGGCACTCTGCAACGTACAATTCTTTTCTACCATATGGATGGTGGACATTTGTAATCTTTTAGTTACCTGCATCTCATACTATGTTATCATGACAATCCTTGCATTTGATAGAGCGTCTTATCACTTCGTCTCAGAAGCACTTCACGGAATCTATTGTAATCTTTGTGGGCGAAATTACTATTAACAATAATAGTAATCGATTGCTTGTAACTGAGGTGTTTTTTTTCCACAAGCAGTTTTAAAACGCGACGAGGGTTTCTGTGCACCAGACGAATTTGCAATTTGAAACATGGGATCAACGATTCTGTGAGATCTTTAGCACAAAATGAACCCTTCTCTCCCTTCCTAATAATAGAATAGTAGAATAATAATCCCTCCAAAACCGAAAACAATAATAAAATTGGTCATTTTTCGATCCACGACTGTTTGTGGGACATTGCTGTGCGCAATCGGCTGCCGCGTTTGCCCCAAATATACAGTCAATTCACTTTACAGTGTGTTCTGTGAAGCGCTTTGGGATGTCTTCCCGACGTGAAAAGCGCTATATCAAATGCAAGGATTATTATTATTGTTATTATTATTCCCTCCCTCCCTCTGCACATGTTTGGACTGGAAAGGAGGCATTCCAGCGACTGCACCAAACACGTTTATCGCGGTGAAAGTAGAGGAGAAAAAAAAGGGGTAGAAAAGGGACGGAGGAATTCGAGGAGGAGCGGAAAACCAAGTGAAAGAGAGCGAAAACAGTAAAGAAAGAACGGAGGATTCGTTCTTCTGCTTCTCTCTCTCTCTTTTTTTGTCGTTGTTGTGGTCGTTCACCTGAAACGAACGGATGAACGCGAAAGAGGAAGAGGTTCCCAGCAATGCGCTGTGTGTGTGGGGGGGGTGTGGGGGGGGCACCGGTGTCACTGTCAGAGTGGGGGTGGGGGTCTGTCTCACGCTGTGGGGGGGGTCTGTCTCACGCTGTGTGTGTGTGGGGGGGGTCTGTCTCACGCTGTGGAGGGGGTCTGTCTCACGCTGTGTGTGTGTGTGGGGGGGTCTGTCTCACGCTGTGTGTGTGTGGGGGGTCTGTCTCACGCTGTGTGTGTGGGGGGGGTCTGTCTCACGCTGTGTGTGTGTGGGGGGGGTCTGTCTCACGCGTGTGTGTGTGGGGGGGGTCTGTCTCACGCTGTGTGTGTGGGGGGGTCTGTCTCACGCTGTGTGTGTGGGGGGGGTCTGTCTCACGCTGTGTGTGTGGGGGGGGTCTGTCTCACGGTGTGTGGGGGGGGGGTCTGTCTCACGCTGTGTGGGGGGGGGGGTCTGTCTCACGCTGTGTGTGTGGGGGGGTCTGTCTCACGCTGTGTGTGTGGGGGGGGTCTGTCTCACGCTGTGTGTGTGTGGGGGGGTCTGTCTCACGCTGTGTGTGTGTGGGGGGGTCTGTCTCACGCTGTGTGTGTGTGGGGGGGTCTGTCTCACGCGTGTGTGTGTGGGGGGGTCTGTCTCACGCTGTGTGTGTGTGGGGGGTCTGTCTCACGCTGTGTGTGTGTGGGGGGGTCTGTCTCACGCTGTGTGTGTGTGTGGGGGGGTCTGTCTCACGCTGTGTGTGGGGGGGGGTCTGTCTCACGCTGTGTGTGTGTGTGGGGGGTCTGTCTCACGCTGTGTGTGTGTGTGTGGGGGGGGGGTCTGTCTCACGCTGTGTGTGTGTGTGTGGGGGGGTCTGTCTCACGCTGTGTGTGTGTGTGTGGGGGGGTCTGTCTCACGCTGTGTGTGTGTGTGTGTGGGGGGGTCTGTCTCACGCTGTGTGTGTGTGTGGGGGGGTCTGTCTCACGCTGTGTGTGTGTGGGGGGGTCTGTCTCACGCTGTGTGTGTGTGTGGGGGGGGTCTGTCTCACGCTGTGTGTGTGTGTGGGGGGGTCTGTCTCACGCTGTGTGTGTGTGTCTGTGTGTGTGTGTGTGGGGGTCTGTCTCACGCTGTGTGTGTGTGTGTGGGGGGGGGGTCTGTCTCACGCTGTGTGTGTGTGTGGGGGGGTCTGTCTCACGCTGTGTGTGTGTGTGGGGGGGTCTGTCTCACGCTGTGTGTGTGTGTGGGGGGGGTCTGTCTCACGCTGTGTGTGTGTGGGGGGGGTCTGTCTCACGCTGTGTGTGTGTGTGGGGGGGGGTCTGTCTCACGCTGTGTGTGTGTGTGTGGGGGGGGTCTGTCTCACGCTGTGTGTGTGTGTGGGGGGGGTCTGTCTCACGCTGTGTGTGTGTGGGGGGGTCTGTCTCACGCTGTGTGTGTGGGGTCTGTCTCACGCTGTGTGTGTGGGGGGGTCTGTCTCACGCTGTGTGTGTGTGGGGGGGTCTGTCTCACGCTGTGTGTGTGTGTGTGTGTGTGGGGGGGGTCTGTCTCACGCTGTGTGTGTGGGGGGGTCTGTCTCACGCTGTGTGTGTGTGTGTGGGGGGGGGGTCTGTCTCACGCTGTGTGTGTGTGTGTGTGTGGGGGGGGGGTCCGTCTCACGCTGTGTGTGTGTGTCTGTGTGTGGTGGTGGTGGTGGTGGTGGTGGTTGTTGTGTGTGAGTGAGTGCGTAGAAAAAATCTATCCCTCCCCAACACCATCACCCCCCACCCCCTCCTCCTCCTCCCACTACTACTACGGTAACTACAGCTTTAAGAGGAGCTCACGTTGTGCGGATCGCCCCCGGGGGGGGTGGGGGGGGGGGGTATAAGAGCAGTGGGAAGGCGTTGTGAGAGCTGCCGGTGGGTGTGTGTGTCTCTCTCTCTATCACACACACTCTCTCACTCACTCACACACACACACACTCTCTCACTCACTCACTCTCACACACTCACTCACTCTCTCACTCACTCTCACACACTCACTCACTCTCACTCAGTCTCACACTCACTCACTCACTCACTCGCTCACTGACTGGCACTGACTGGCAGTGGGTGGGGGTGGGTGAGGGCTGTGTGGGAGTCGCTTTCGCTCTCCACCTCCTGATGCCATGCGGTGCGCACAGGCAGTGCCATGACAGCTCACCTCCCGGCTCCTCGGGCTCCGGCTCCTCGGGCTCCGGCTCCTCGGGCTCTTCTGGCTGTGCTGTGGGCTCTGGTGGCCGCGGGCAGCTGGGCCGGGGGGAGCGGGGGGGCCGAGGACCACCTGCTGCTGCCGCCGCCCCGCAACGCGTCCCTGAACCTCTCCCTGACGCCTCCCCTGCGGGTGGACTCGGCTGCCCCCGGGTCCGGGTCCGGGTCCCGGGGTCCGGCTCCGGCTCCGGCTCCGGCTCCGGGTCCGGGTCCGAACCCGTGCAACATCACAGCCCGGAGGCTGGCGGCCACCTCGCTGCTGGTCCGCTGGGAGAGGTCCTCCCGCTTCGAGTGCGATGTCCTGCTCTTCAGCACCAGCAGCCCGGGCAGGTCCTTCTTCTCCGCCGCCCTCAGCCGGGTCTCCTCGCCCGCCACCATCGACCACGTCGGGGTCGGGGGGGGACAAGGTCAGCAGCTGTTCAAACTCTGCGTCGGATGCGGTGGAGCCCGGCTCGGCAGGTCAGGACCGAGGAGGACTGCTGCTCCTCCTCCTCCTCCTCCTCCCCACCCACCACCACCACCATCACCCCCTCGCCCCCAGACCCACCACCTCCTCCAGGCCGAGTGGGTGAACTTCTGCTGCCTGGACTTCAGGTTGGAGGAGCTGAGGGGTGACCCCGGCTGGAGGTTCAACCGCAAGCCCATCGAGTCCACCCTGGTGGCTTGTTTCATGACCGTCGTGATCATCATCTGGAGCGTGGCTGCCCTGATCTGGCCCGTGCCCATCATCGCTGGCTTCCTCCCCAATGGCATGGAGCAGAGGAGGGGGTGAGGGTCCCTGAGGGTGGGGTGGAGGGGTGAGAGGGTAGGGGGGGGGTGGGTGGGGGTCTGTCTGTCTAGTCTCTTGTCTGTCTTGTCTATCTGTCTGTCTGTCAAAAGCTTTGGACTCCAGGTAATGCAGCCCTTCGAAATCAGATCCATGTCATCTCGATTTTTTTTTTACATTGGGACCAAACGTTACTGTCCCTATAAACTATAGACTCCTCGATTTTGGACCAACGCCAAGAAACCCGTGAGTGAGTGAGTGTCTGAGAGGCACTGCAGGTCACTGCGCTGTAAACACGGGGAGAGATGGGCTCTTCATCCCCTCTCTGGGGGGGGGGGGGGGGACACACACACCATCGAGACTACCCAAGGTGTTGCTTGGACTTGTTTGGGATGTGTTGGGTTTGACCTGGGGGTGGGGGTGTGGGGGGGTGTGGGGGGCGGTTGCTGTACCAATAATTAAACCCGTTCAGAAATGCATCCACTTTGAAGTACGTGTTTCCTACAGTTCCATTCATTTTTCGGGAGAATACAGGTAAAATGCGCATTTAAATGCTCTTTCTTCATTCCGAAGGATGGCGAGTTGGATGGACTCTGGCGTCTAGTTTTGGTTTGGTGAAGAGTTTGCACTCTCTCAGAGGATTTGCAGTGCAGATGTGCGGGGTTTTATTTTTAGCACTTTTTATTTTTTTTTCCCCTTCCTGAAACTGCGCATTTCCACCATAAATCAGGCACACAATAGCGGGGTTGTGTTCATTTTTTTTTCGATGTGTGTGTATGTGTGTGTAAAGAAATCATTCCATGCACGATCAGTATATAACGATGGATTAATATATTAATACGTTCAAGTGTTTTGTCGTGTTTACATTACTGATGGAAAAATCATCTTCGAGTTTTAAGATACAGATGAAATTTTCCCCCCAATCCCTCGTTTGAACTTCCTTTGAACAAACAATAGGAAAATGTTAATAATCCCCTCCCAGGCTCTTGAGTAAAACGTTTTGTATATTCATTCTTGACATTTGTAAATGGAGGAAAGTCTTTGAAGTTTGTATAAATTACACGTTTAAATGTATTGATATTCAGCAGCTTTTTAATAAAGTAGCTAAAAGCCATAGTTTGAATTATTCTTCCCTTCCTCTCTTAGGCTTGTAATTCTTAAAGCTGCAGTATCTCACACCTTGGAAAAGTGTTTTTCTAGTTTATATTATAGACTGCACTCTTGATAAATGCACCACCCAGAGTTGGGACATCCTGCTGATGTGAAGCAAAGTTGCTTTATAAGTGCAATTTGTTGTTGTTGTTGTTGTTGTTGCTGCTGGTAGCACTCTAGCCTCTGAGTTAGAAGGTTGTAGATTCAAGCCCCACATCCAGGTTTTGGACTCACAGGCTCAGGTGACCAGGATTAGGTGATCTGTCTGTTCAACTGGATGTTAAAAATTACATGGCACTATTTGAAAAGAAAAGGGAGTTTCTCTTGGTGTCCTGGCCAACAACCCCCCACCCCCCCAGATAAAATTGGTCTTTCATTTCAGTATTGCTTGTAGGATATTACTGAAGGATGTAATGTTACTTTACATTACAGTAAATCATGTGAAGTGCTTTGAGGTGTCTCGATGATGTGATAAGATGGTATATCAAACGCAAGAAGTAGTATTATTATTGTGCTATATGAACAAAGAAAACGAAGATCCTACTCTGTTCGGTGCTGCTGTTATAGGAATGTGCACATCTAGAACAAACCATTCAACTGGTTGGTTCCATCACAGTGAAACCTGTTCAAGAAACCACCACCATTCAGCAATAACCTCCTGTTACCAACCAACCTAGAACAGCCCCTTCAGTATGTGTTCACACCAACAAATCCTTACTCAGAGGCCAACCTTGTTATAAAGGTGTATACAGATTAACCCCTACATAACCTCCAATACCCTGGTATCTAATTTCCTCAAACCATACACTTTGCCTCAACCATCTTCCTGACACATTAAAAGTACCACATGTTAAGTTTCCTCTACACTACAGAATGGGCAAATACTGTTATTAAATCTAAAATATCTATTTATTCTTTCCCCTCTGGGTTTGAGACCATAAAAGGCCCCTTTCCCCCTCCCTGACCGTATTGAATAGGGGTTTAGAGTTTAGCTTGAAAATTCAGAGACTTGAATAAGATCACGTCTCAAAACGTCTCTTATCCAACGTAAACATTCCTAGCTTCTGCAATCTCTGCTCGTAGCTTAGACACTAAATCCCATGTATTCAGTTAACCACATTTTTCCAATCCTAGAATGTCATTACTTTAGTTCAGTCCTGAGTACGCAGTAAGTTACAAATGACCCTGGAGCCTGGAATAAGCAAAGGATTGATTTTTAGTGATACCTGCTGGATCGTGCATACATTTTTGTTCTGTTAGAACAGGATTGGGCTCCACTGTAACCCCCCCCACCACCACCACCCACCAGGTTAAATAGCTTGCTGCACTCATTGTTAGAACGCCCAACTATAGTATACCTTGCTTAATGTACCATAGGCAGCTGTGATCTATACCTCAGCATGAGTCAATGGCATGGAGGGGAATGTGCTCAGTTTAACCTGCTGTGGTGATATTCAAGATTTCATAATAGCAGTAAGCTGCAGGAAGTCTTGAATAACTTATTACTCTTCTCACTTCAGGGCTCTGCTTCCGAAGTCGGCAGAGACTCAAGAATGTAGAACAGAGGTGCTTAATATGGGTGAATGTATGAGCCCATAAAATTGACCTGCAGTGTGAAGATATGAAAATATTGAAATGGTAGCACAGAGTAGAGATTCACTTTACTGATAATGGGATCCTCTTTTTCCTCGTCACACATCAAAATGATTTTTCAATTATTAAGGTTTACTGTCGTGATAGGTTCAATTCCTTTTAAAAAGTTGAACTTTTGGCAATAAGCTCTCACTGCATTTGCTTATACAGCAAAAGAATAATTCATTCAAAAGGTCAAAATTCATGAATATTCCTGTTGGTTATTGTATTAACAATTTTAAGGGATGAGGTAGGAGGATCTTGTATATCACTTTGGATTCATAGAAATTACAACACAGAAAGAGGTCATTCAAGACCTACCTCTTTGACTATGCCTCGGTCATTTCTTCCCCTCCACTCAGCTTCTCCCCCACCCCCCCCAGTTCTTACCCCACCTCGAGTTCCAAGCCAGGACTGTACGTTGGGAATACTTCCTGACATGGGATCCGAGTACACACATAAATGTAAATTTGTATTGTATTGTTGTATTCTTATTCATGATAAGTGAAAGGTTCCTGATAGATGGTTTGTGGTTGTATGATTTGAAATTTTTTTTTTACCTGCATTCCTCTGCACCCCCCTCCTCTCTGACCTCCTCTCTCTTCAAAACGGTACTCGTTGCCTTTGTTCCACCGGGTCTGGCCTCCTCCTCGTCCCCCGAGTCCTCCACTCCACCCTCGGCGGCCGTGCCTTCAGCCACTATGCCCCGAGGCTCTGGAACTCCCTTCCTCACTCCCTTCGCCTCGCTCCCTCCCTTCCTATTTTCAGGTCTCTGCTGAAGACCTTTCTTTTCGACCACGCCTTTGGTCACCTTCCTCCCCCTCCCCCTGGCTCGGTCTCGGGATCTGTTACTGTGAAGTGCTCTGAGACGCTATCCGGCGTGGAAGGCGCTATATAAATCCACGTTGTTGTTGTTATTCTTTCCTAATCCCTTTGCATGTTATTCCTTTCCAAATGCTTAGCACAAATACTTTGTCTCAATTTGCTCTCTTGTGCCCCACTTCCATAAACAAGTTCTATCACAAAGATTCCCAGTCTCTTTGTAACCCCCTGTTCTTCCTCCCTTTGTGGTAAGATTTTTTCAAATGATTAATAATAAGAAGAAATTATTACTAACGATAATAATCCTTACATTTTGTATAGTGTTTTTCGTGTCAGGAGTATGTCTCAAAATGCTTCATGGTGAAGTGTAGTGACTGTGTACTTTTGTAGGAGAACACGTGCCAAAGTGAACCCAGCAATGTTTCTACAAACAGCCATGAAGTGAAACCATCACAAGTATAATCTAAGTAGATCTTAGTTTCTTTTCTCCACCAAGACATTTGCCCTTGCCCAAAATGGCAATGAAGAAACATTGCAGTGTTAACATCTTATTCCTTACAGGTTTTGAATTTTTTTAAAATCATACAACCGAAAACCATCTATCAGGAACCTGTCACTTATCATTAAGTATTTCACACTTCTGCAATCATCTCACAGAATTCTTGAGCGTGCAACATTTTAACTTTTCATTTTTTTGGCCTCCTATTCAGAAGGGACTCAGTGGTCAGTGCGAGAGAGGTTTGCAAGTAAATAGTGTGTGGAAAATAAAGTGGGTGAGGGGTTATTCTAGGAACAGACTTGATGGGAGTTCCGACACACTGTCCGAAAGGGGCGCTATATAAATGTAACTTGTTATTGTTGTAGATGTTGTTTGTGCGGTAAGCCTCACTTGATGTTTATTTTTGTTCTCCTAAACCATGGGTTTCCAATAAGTATTCCTATAGTAATCTGTAATTCCTCTCTGCTTGATTTCACATCTCTCCTTGGTTGCCGTTTTAAGACATGCTCTGCATTGCTAATGATTTTAGTATATTTAAAGGTGATTTTCAATGCATTACTCTGATTAGTCATTACAGCAAGGGCTATAACTTTATTATAGTATAATATAATGCCATTGAGTTCATTCAAGTTAAATCCAGAGTCACAAAATAGTGCTTCAGTTGCCGTGTAACTTTAAACATAACAATGGATTGTGCATATAGAGGTCAGATCAATATTGGTTGTTTATTAAAGCATTGTAAAAACTCAGTTTCATGTAGTGAGAACCGCAGAGGAAAATAATTGAATCAAACGCGTAAATATTGATGGGTGGGGATTTATCCCATCAGTAATTGTTTTCACACAAGTGAAATCCAGTGCTAAAATAATTCCCAGTATGCTATGAAAGCTTCTGTAAGTCA